CCACAGCTGCGAACCACGAAAGACTGCACACGCGCGCACACACATACACATACACATACACACACACGCGGCGCGTAATGGGTGCTGCGCAACACTCGTTTATTGGGTCCACGTACGTTGTTTGGTTGATGATCACTCGATTCTTAGAGATTCGGAGCGCGGCAACACTTGATGTCATTAGTCCCGTAAGAGCAGTGCGTGTTTTTCCCTCGGGAGGTGGTGGTGATCTCCCCATGCCTAATGGAGGGATCCGGCGTGGACCTACCATCGACTACAGAGGTTTTCCCCCCTAACCACGTACCTCCCATCAGAGGGGCACTGCCACAGCCGGGTAAAGACTCTAAACTGCCGACTCGTCCCCCATCACATTTAGTAGTGTAATACGTGTGACTGTACGTAGGGAATGAGGATAGGATAAGGAAGATGAAAGAAAGTTCACGCGCGGCCTGTGGCTAGTTTGTTAGGGCACCGCTTCGGCATTCGCCTAAAGTTGATCAGTATTCCCACGGAAAACCTTGCTGACACACTAGTGTCAAAAATCCTGTCTCCATCGGGACTCGAAACTAGAACTTGGGGCTTGGCCTCGTCTGTGTAAATAGGAGTGATGCAACTCCTCCTGTTAAACCCGACGATTCTGATTTTGGTCGGGACAAGACTTCCAATATCACCCTTTTTTGGCACCAGAGGGCGTACGGAGTGCAGGTTTGTAAATTTTCTCAAGGTGAACGTTGTTCCATTAAGTAAGTTTAATACACTTGTAAAACGTGACTTATCCCGAATGTGCACGAGCCCTTTCACCCATGAGTTTGCAGATCAGAGTGACCAAGAAAGGTTCAAATTGATTTCGGGAAAATACATTCAAATCAGTGTAACATGGAGATTTAAGAGGAATTTTAGAAGAAAAATTAAAGAGGAAATTGATACTAGGTTTGTAGGTAAGTTAGGTATTCACAATTGAATTTTATTTATCTATATAAATTTCGATTAAGCAATCACATAAATATTTACAGATACGAATTATGCAAGAATGTACCAGGTGGTCGATTTCGTACGTGTGTATTGTGTGAAAAGGACAGTGCAAATCGGTCTAAGACATAATACATTAAATCTGGGATCTCACCACCAGCTGAGATTTCTTCAGCTGAAAGTGGTGGACTGCAAATGAAAGGGAATGTTAATATACTCTCTCTGACTTGACTCTTCTTTTCGACTGCACAATGTCTCAATAGTTCAATGTTGAAGGTATATTTTTGAAGCTTGTATATGATTGCGATTACTATGTTTTTCCCTTAAATTAAATTATCTACATTTAGTATTTTGGAAAAAATATGCTACATGAAAACCGGAAGAAATTTTTTACTAAGCCAGAAATAGTAAAAGTTGGGCGACACTGATCTCGATGATACCTCAATTAGCAAACATATCACAATGACATTTTAAAATCTTCGGGGCATATTTTGCTATCTTTCTCCCACTGAAAGGAAGTTTTATCATTCAATTACTTGGGATTTATCAATTCCACGGTTATTCAACAATGTTGTAGAAAAATAACTTTAATCTAAGTGAAAGCCTGACATTTGCAAACGTTCTTGGAAATCGAGGCCACTTATGAAACAAGTTCTAGGTAGGGCAGTTTTAAAGAGACTTTCGGATCTTAAAATCTTCTACTAACGTTGTTTCTACTACTGTCGTTTCTAAGAAGTAAAAGTTTAAAATAATGTACCGCAAGGTTTTTGTTGCAAATTCAAATTTAAGATTTTCACATCGGAGAATGATTGTTATTCTGAATTGAATTTATCTTAATTAATTTCCTAATGAATGATTATGACTACAACATAATCTCTAATGTACCTGCTAGGAGAACAGTAAAAGAATGAAGTCAGAGTAATCATACACTTAAATCTGTCACTCAAGGTGTAATTTAGGTTGAATCCATATGAGTATCAAACCAAAAGTTTAATCCTTGCTAAGTTAAAATTTTAAAATAAATACTCAAATTATTCATACAACACTGCATATTGGTTTTAATTTTGATGGCTTGGATTGTCCTACACCCGAAAGAGAATTTTACAGAGAGAAGGAATATCATGTAAGCAGGTGATGTGTTTTATCTTTATTGATTAGAAAAGTGTATTGATGAACGATGGAAGCTCATATTTACTATCTTCTCTCAACGTGTTTTGGTCTTTTACGCTTTATTTTGGCCTGACCTCGGGGCATTTTTAAGTGGAAAAACATTCGTCATGGGTATTGGAATTTTAGGTCTTTTATCACGTATTGTTATTTTTACAGTTCTCAATAGAGATCTTATGCTATGCATATCTTATGCAGCTTCGTGGGCTGTAACGAGTGTCACAGGTAGTAGAGTGTAGCACAGCACCCATCACAAAACTCTATCAGAACAGATACCTGCTCAAATAGAAAACACACAGAGGAGCCACAGCGACTGATCTCTGGACAACGGTTATTAGTACACAAATGCAACATACAATCTATGACTGTTACAGTTTCAAGTGCATAATTCGTAGCACAATGCTTATTAGTAACAAATAAAGTCTCGACGTGTTTCAAACACCATAGCAATGTATTATTTTCAAAAGTTGAGAAAATTCGACGACTAATTTGAGGATTTTCAGTAGTGTTTCCTCGAGTATAAAAAGTTCCGCAATATTGGAACTCCTTACAATGATTCTCATAATACAACATAGAGAACGATTTGTCTTATAAAGCTCAGGGACGTTGTCAGTAATGATTATTATCAGCATGGAAATACACACATGTCTGACACATCATAAACATCGTAAAAAGTGTGAATAGACCTTGCATTTCTTAAAGAATTTGCATATCATTTTAGATCGTTTAGCATTGCGTAAATGTTTAGCACAGAGAGACAGGAACGGCAAGTACATTACTCGACACAAATTACAAATGGTTATTAATTCAACAGTGATTTGAATTGGCACACTTCTGGAGACACACACGTAAGAGTTGGTAGGTTTGTTTCGTGGTAATATTGTCCAATTTGATTATCACGAAACAATTGTCCTGATCTTGTTAAGGAAGTTTCTGGTGACTTATGACACTAGAAACAAAAGACGTAGCAGGCGATTAAAAACTGCGCGTATGTCCCAACAGTCACTGTAAAAGGGAATCACATCAAAATTGAACTTTTAGGAAGTTTTACGCAGTTCGTTTCTGTACTTAACGCTGCTTTCTTCTCAGCAGTTTTCTGAACCAGTTATCGAGAATATTTAATGTCATTATCATATATGTGAATTGCGTCAGATTTTGCAATTCAATGAGCTTTAAATTGGTGGATATTTTAGAGAAAGTATATTCATGTGAGGCTTTCTCTTCGTTCTGCTACAATAATACACACACTTGTGCAGCTTACTTGCCTGCAAATTAGCAGCTTGTGCAATAGTTTACTTTCCTTCAAGATCAATGAAATCATACGGGCATCGACACACTTTTTGAGTAATCTCAGTTTTTTGGTGTATATACTTCATGACACACTGACAGTTTTAAGATCTAACGTGAAATAATAGCTAACTAGCTTATAGATCAACGTTAATTAGCTGATGATGCAAAAAATAAATTCTCTTCCGTATTCATTCTCTGGCATCAACTGTTGCAGTAATCGCATACCTATATTAAATGTCAATTGACACTTTCACAGTGCTTACAGGTGTCCAATAAAGTAGGTTTCTTCAACCCTTTCTCACACCTAGTCATTTGCGAGGCTGTTGGTGCTTACTCAGCACCATTTGTCTTTTCTTTGAAATGGAAGTAGCACGCACCAAAATGCTTCCTATTATCTACTGCACTCTTGCAAAAATCGAGTTCCTCTCTATTCGGGTACGTATAGAAAGTATGAAAAATAGAGACAATATTTCTTTAGTATTTGCGCTCGACGCGTAGAGAGGGGAGGGGAGGCGAGTTTCATCCGATTGCCGTCCCACCTTCTAAGCACGACGGAGCCCCCTGAGTAGGTTAAAAACCACTGAAAGCTTCAATTTGCGAGTCCAACATTCCGTCAAGAATCCTATTCCAGGCGAATAACGAGTGCTATGGAAATGAGCGTTCACTCCACTAAGGTCAGAGTAAAATTAGAATGAGATTGACATTTCGTGGTCAGGTGATGACGCCAGCTTGGTAACCTAGGAAACAGCGAATCAGAAGCTTCGCCATTTACACAGTGCCACCTAAAATTAGGAAACAAATGTTACAAGCAAACACATATTACAAATGTTCCGAACAAATGTTAGGAACAAACTTTTTACGAAATGTCTCAACATTCGTTTCTTCCGTTTGGCTAAGTCAGGGGTATCCAGTTGGCAAGGTCTCAAGGGCCACAACTAAAACTTTTATCATGGTTACGGGCCATATTTTCATTACTCGGTCGATCGACACGTGAGCCCGTACTGTTGATCTCAGCAGTTTGCCCGGCTTCTCTAAAACAGAGGAGGGGATAGAACCATGCGTGATATAAGGCCGTTCCATGCTTAATACAGGGAAACACATTGGGATGATTTTGAATTTCTGAATTTACCAGAAACAATTCTTAGATGTAAACACAACCCATTTTTACATTAAGGGGGTGTTGAATACGACAGGAAGCTTGCACAATATTCTCGCCCAACAAAGAAACAAAGGGTTTTCACGTTTAACTAAAACCCTTTTGCGAGCCACTATAAATGGCACCGCGGGCCGCTAGTTGGACAGCCCTGGCCTAGTTAAGAGCGGAGAGCACGTGGTACAGCACGCAGCCAGCGGCAGCGCCACCTCCCATCCCCACCCGAATGTCAATTACATTCTAATTTTATTCGCAGTACACCTCCTCTACCAGTCACACACTTGTCACATTTGCACGACGCTAGGAACGTCGTGCGAGCCGCTGCCGCCGCTCATAGACGAATGTCGCAGAGGTGCGGTGGCGCGGGGCGCGGCGCGTGGGCGGGCGGGGGCGGGGGCTTGACGGGGCCGAGCAGCACGCAGCGTCAGACGCACACGTCGCGGCTCTGCGTGTGCGTGTGCGTGTGGGGCGCGCCCAGCGGCCCGCTGTCGCAGCCACAGCCGCCGCCGGCGCCGCCGCCCAAGCCGCCCCCGCGCGTCAGGAACGGGCAGGCGCGGCGCAGCAGCGGCCGCACGGCGCAGTGCACGTCCACGTTGGCGAAGCAGAACAGGCACGACACGCACAGGCCCTGTGCACACACACCACCACCGCCACCGCCACCATCACCATCATCACTCTCACCGGGGGCCTCTGGGGTGCCAGGCCCGACGGTGACACTCAGTGCATAGCGAGAGGTGTGTCAGCACCCCGGAATAAAACATGTCACATGGTTTATTGCTTTTTAATTGCTAATTAATTGCTACAAATTGGAATTAATTGGGACGTTCATTCGTGCGAAAAGGATTCTAAACGAAAATACGTGACTATTATTTCCAAATTGTGGCAATTAAATAGCAATAAACAATTTGACATGTTACTTTCCGGTCTGCTGACGTGGCTGTTTCAAATAGACGCAATCTGATAGCTAGGTCGAATTCAGATGCTCTCTGCAGGACAATATTAGCGCCCGGCTGATTTGATCCGATTGATTGATTTGTGATTCCGGGCACGCGCGTCAACCGCTAGGGTCGTTAGTTCCGTAAGTGTAATGCATGTTTGGTCGCGGGAGGGAGCAGTGATCTTCCCCCGCTGGATGGCGGGATCCGGTGCCGATCCACCCGACGACTTTTGGGGTTTCCCTCAACCAGGTATCTCCCACCAGCAGGACACTGTCCCAGCCGGGTCAAACCAACCGACATGTGTGGTAGTGCAGTGCATGTAAGTTTGTGTGTAAGAACGGATGTAGGGCAAGGATGGGGAAGAAAAGATCGCGGGCATTTCGTGGCTCTTTAGTTAGGGTACTGCACCGGCGTAAGGATGGAAATAAAAAAATAACATGAAAAACTACCGATCAGAGCAACTCGACGCTGAACTCGACCTAGCTATCTAGCTAGTGCCGGAAATCCTACCATCGTCGAAACTCAACCCTATAACTTTATTTAGATTTCTGAAACTGCGCATTTACAGACGCAGCTACATGCATGAACGCGACAGGGCTGTCAAAATTTATTTGACGGTGTCCAAAGGAAGGAACTGCTTATACAAAGGAGAATTCCCTTTTGCCCCTAACTGCGCTCTCCTAGAGGAAAGTGGGGGTGGGAGGGTGCGTCTGCCGAGAAGTCGGGTGTGCACGTTGATGTGCGACGCCGAGAGGTGCTCGGGACTCAAGTGGCTGCCGAAGGGTCGCTGACGACCCGGCGCGCTGGGGACACAGGGACTGGGACTCCGAACAAGTTGGTACACGCACAAAGGCTTACAAACAATAGTAGGTCTTCAGAGCTGAGCAAATCTCTTACCAATTTAATAAAATTTCGACTACGTATTAGAAGCCCCAGTTGGTGGGATCTCTAAGCCGCCACAATATCTAAATAAGAAGCACACAAAAGAACGCCGTGTTCATTTACGTATAGGAAAATAATACTTTTGAAATGCTTAGGTGTAACATTGGGAAAACACGACACAGTTCCCTTCACAGAGGGGCCTATATTTAAATAAGCGCCTTAATTTTTTAAGCAAACCGCATTCGGCACGAGCGGTGAGAGCATGCGCACATGCAGGGAGATGTCGTTGTATACCTATGCCCAAAATGTACTACTAATATCTAAATAACATATAGTCAACGAACGACATTTCCATTTTCTTATGTAGAAATAGAACGCTTTTAAGATGCTTTAGTGTAAAATTGGGCAAATGCAAAATTGTTCCCTTTACACCGAGGCTTAATTGTAATGCCTGTGCCCAAAATGAACTACTAGTATCTAAATAAGATATACTAGTTAAGGATCGCCATTTCCATTTACTTATATAGAAATACAACGCTTCTAAACTGCTTTAGTGTGAAATAAAGCAAATACGACATGGTTCCCTTTACCCGAGGCTTAATTGAAATGCCTGTGCCCAAAATATACAACTAATATCTAAATACGATATAGTTAACCATTTCCATTTACTAATATACAAATACAACGCTTTAAACTGCTTTAGCTGAAAATAAACAAAATGCTGACAATATGCGTACACGATAGCTTAATTGAAACGCCCCTCACATTTGAGCGCGTGGTGGTGGTAGTGATGGGGGGGGGGGGGCGTGCGCACCTGCAGGGAGATGACGACGGCGGCGAAGAGCTGGTAGAGCTGCTCGCCGCGCGCGCCGGGCTCGGGGCGGAAGGGCAGCGCCACGTGCTGCAGCCCGAACAGCGGCACGAGGATGAGCGCGGCGCGCGCCGCCTTGCGCAGCCCCACGGGCGCCGGGTTGGCCGAGTTGCAGTGCAGCTTCGTCAGCAGCACGCGCAGCACGTTCACCAGGAAGACGGCGGACGCCGCCAGCGACAGCAGCACCGGCACCGTCAGCGCCCACTGCGTCACGCTGTCGCCCATCCAGCACCTGTGGGGCAGGCCGCCAGTTAACAATGCCCCCCTCAATGAGCACGGATGGCTGATAACCATGCTGTCCCTCATCCAGCACCTGCGACAGGACAGTTATTTGGCACTGCTTCACGCTGATCCCCAACCAACATCTGCCTCACCAATAAACTCTCTCTTACAGATGTACATCTGTTCATCACTGCGTCACGCTGTCGCCAATCCAGCACCTGCGGGGCAGGGCGCCAGTTAACAATGCTGCCCCCCCCCATCCAGCACCGGTAGGAGTTAACCATGCTGTCCCACATCCAGCACCTTTCGACAGGGCATCACGCTGTCGCCCATCCAACACCTCCCTCAGCAATAAACTCTCTCTTACAGTTGTACACCTGTTAATCACTGCATCACGCTGTCGCCCATCCAGCACCTGAGGAGCAGTGTGCCTGTGAACAATGCTCCCCCCCCCATCCAGCACCAGTGGAATTCAACTATGATATTTCTCGTCCAACACCTGCGACAACACCGGCGGCTGTTAGACATTGCGTCACGCTGTTGCTCCTCCAGCACCTGTGTAAATGTGGTAGTTAACAATGCTGTCCTCATTCAGCACCGGTGGCAGTTAACCATGCTGTCCCTCGTCCAGCACCTGAGACAGGGCGACTGGGAGCCACTGCTTCAATCTGTCGCTCATCCAGCATCTGCCTCACCAATAAACTCTCTTACAGATGTACATCTGTTAATCACTGCGCCACGCTTTGCTCGATCCAGCACCTGCCACACTTACAAACGTTTATTGAAGTGCATCTGTGACCCACTGCGTCACGTTGCCCCTCGCCCAGCGCCTACCACACCTACAAACTCTCTCTTTCACGTCCTGTTCACCGCTACTCATTTGGCGATAGGGCGTCTGTTATCCACTTGGTGTTCACTGGTGTTATCGGTGTTCACTGGTGACGCTATCATTTATCATGATCTACCGTTCGTAACTGGTTGAACTGTCGAGCGTAGCATCATGGTATCTCCATAACATTTCTAAACCTTATAGCACCAATATACTCTCTTACAGTAACTTACCTTCCGTCTGGCGCTTCCGTCAGCGCCCATTGCGACGTTCTTTGTCCAATGTAGCACTCGCACGAGCGCACACAAAAATTCTCTTATTCAGTTACTCGTTTGCTGTCTTCTATTAAGCCCCTGCACGTGGACACGTCCGCACACTCATTCTTGCAATATGTGTAGAGTTGGTAATACCTCTGGCTTCATTTTTGACAAGTCGCAAACAAAAACTTATATTAACTACAATGCAACTTCTTGTTTACGTTTCTAGCCCATTGAAGCCAATGATGGTAATTTTATGACAAAGAAACCGTGCGATCCGCTAGTGTTTCACCAAGAACAAAATGACTCCTTAATTTAAAGTTGTAAATCGTTGAGACAAACAGATGTAAGACATATCTTATTATAAGAAACTAGTGGAGCAACAGCAGAATACTACGTCTTCGTATTATTTGGAAGCTTTACAATTTAAAAAAATTAGAGTTTAACGAAAAGAGACCATCAAAAATACACTTCGCAAAAAACCTTCACCACATTTTAGAGTTCTTTGCTATATGCGAAGTACAAAAATAAGAAATGTTTAACATTTCTCCTTGGATAGAATAAATTATGTTTAAAGAAAAGACTTGGATTCAATTTTAGGTCAACTGTTATTTTCAAAACTACAAACCTAACTACAAAACTAACTACTACAAAAAAAACACAGCTAAACTACAATATTGATAGATTTTTCACACTAGCTAGGCAGCTCAGTCTAGTTCAGTCGCTGTTTGAAGGAGCATTCCAGCGGTCAGCTGCTCTGGTCAGACGTTTCCCGTGGTTTCTCCGATCAACAACGGATGAATGCAGGAGCAGTACTATCAAACGGGCCACGGACCGCGCGCTATCTTTTCCATCCCCAACTCCTTACATATGCATACACACTTACATGCACTACACAAACACACTTGTCGGGCGCTTGGAGATTGTCCCAGCTGGAGCGGTATCGCATTGGAAGGAGATACCTGGTTGGGGAAACCCCGTTAGTCGACGGGTAGATCTCGTCATCCAGCAGGGGAAAGGTCACCACCACTCTCCGCGATATGCGACATGCACTGCGCTTGGTCACTGACCTGCGCGTGTCGTCGGGGCGGCTGCTGCGCCAGTAGGTGTAGACGGCGGCGACGAGCGCGGGCAGCACCCAGCCCACGAAGTGGAACCAGCGCATCACCAGCTCGTCCTTGACGAACACCACCACCAGCGCCAAGTGCAGATGCAGCCCCTCGCAGAACATCCACATGTAGTTGGCCACCATCAGGTACTGCAGCAGCACGTGCAGCGCCTGGCACGGCCACTGCAACCGCCCGCACGACACACGCCACATCTAAGGGCTGCCTTTTACTTTCTCGCCACGGTGTGGAGAGAAAGTTATGTAATGCTGAGCGAAAAATACGGCCAATATTCGACAGGAAAACTCTTATTTCAGGACCCTGGTAGCTAAAAAGTGGATAAATCCAGTTGCTAAGTTTAGAAGAAGTCCTCCAACACGTGGTGTTGGCACATAAGTGGCGAAAGTAATTCAAATTGGGCGCCACTCTTGGAGCTCATTCAGTTTGGCTACTCTTTGAAGGTCTTTAAGAAGAAAGGATGATGCATTTAAAGTGTAATTGTGTAAGGTGCAATAAGATCCACCCGTGTAAATATTTTTAGCTTCTTGTACGTATGTAGTATATACGGAGTACAATACTTGGTCTAGGAAACGCTTAATAAAATGTGCCATTTCATCGACAGAAAAACCCATTTTGTGGCTCCATGGGGGGAACAAAAGAGAATTGTTCTTGTGTCTGTTCGAGGACTATTTTTTTCAAGGACCAATCGGTCTAGAAATTAAAACACAGAGAAAATTCGGGGACAAAGTGCGCAAATATTTAACTCTTCTAAAAGAAATATTTCAATTCTATTTTTCCGGAACCAAAGGACGGACAAAATGACAAAAATTGACTATTAGCCGCCGATAGGTTGTATTTGCAAATGAAGTGAAAATACCGAAAATACAGCCTGGATTAAAGAGATGAGTAGCGTGGGAAACCCTGTGCCATCATTTAGCACTACTTGTTTTTACTTTCTCGCTACTGCTTACGCAGTATAGAGGAGGTATGTCCGTTTCCAATATTGTAATACCGTTAGCAAAAGATATTCAAGTGTTATTGTCAGCAATACCGCTAGTTCCGTGACATGAAACACTTCCTTGTAAGATTCTTATTGAGCACCCACTATTATGTTGAATTACGTTTGTGCTATAATTATTCATATTGTCTTCCTTATGACGTAAAGGTTGCTGATAATACATAGAATTCTGTTTGTATGACCAGCATGACTATACATATGCATGGATGTGTGCGTGTGTGTGTGTGTGTGTGTTTGTGTGAAAGCTATGGACAATAAAAGGAAAAGGTACACAATATTGTAGCTTTAAAGTGAGTTGTTCGAACATAAAAATAGCCTACCAATTTTCCATTGCAACAAGGAAGGTAATAGCGTATCAAGAGTTTTGAATAATCTGAAATAATACAATAAGACTCATAACTGGGTTTCTTGTCATAGAGGAAGCAACAAAAGAAAATAATTACACATAAATGAGAAAAAAATATATTTCTCACCGTGTCACGAATACAGTTCGAAAACAAAAGATGAAGTGATTAAATTTCCAAAATAAAGTGAATGGAAAGAGCCTCTTTGAAAGTTACGTTTTCTAAATTTTCAAATTCCCTGACTTGTCCAGTTTTTACAGTCTATTTTTCTCCCTCCTGATTATGTTTAGTCTATAAATTATATTCGTTACACAGGACAATAAAACATAAAAATGATCAAATTTTAAAAAATCAAGTATATTTTTGAAATTAATTATGTATTAATTAATTACAACATACAATTAAATATTTAACAAACATTAATTACTTGTTACAAACAAAACAATCTAATAAATAAAAGAGCAGTATCTTGCTCCAGCTGGTAAGCTTCAACGAAATCAGTGAATTAATCTGTCCACAACATTTGCAATTTGAGCAGTCATTGCATTATTGAACCTTCCCACAAGTTCACAGAGCTTATATTTCGCTATTCTGTTCTCAGCTTCCTTGTTCTCGTATCTTATTTATTTAAAGTTCAATTTAGGACAAGGGTTTCTAGCATAATGAATATGACTTCCAGTTATCAAGACTAGTGTAACTCCTACTGCTTCTATAACGCCATTTCAAACTTGTTTCTGATCGACTAAAGATTTCTCTACCAGGTTTTCAACGGAATTCATCTTGTTGATAAGAAATCAACTTCAGAATCACCGTAAGATTAACAAGCTTTGTAGTAATACATTTTCTAAATTCTCTAGATCCTTTGAAATCCAAAATAACTCTCTTTCAAAATCGATCCAAATAAACTTTCATAATCGCATTCTGAGTAACTTTATGAGACAATAAAAGCAAACAAACGCATTTCTAGGAGATCTCCCATAGTATAGTAATGTTTAATTCTATTTTTATGTATTTCCTAAATATTACTATGATTTCACCAATTGAATTTTTTATCTACATATTATACAATTTAACGAAAAATTTGTAAAATTTCAATTTAAAAAATCTATTATTTATTATCAATTTTAGCTTTTGTAATGCAGAGATTTAATATACCATCTCTCTAAGTGTGTGCTTAAAAATAATTTAAGCCGTTCTAAAATTATCATGGTTAATGAACATTATAGCACGAGACAGCAAATGTAAAACATCAGCCTTTTATAATTATATTGATGTATTAGAGATTAATAACAAAAAGACAGTTTTACTACCATAAGAACTACATTAGTACAAAATAAATGTTTGTCAAACAAGGTTTAATTTAAGAATGCGTCATCGTAATAATTTTATAATTTTTCCGCTTTCCGTAAAGGAAAACCGAAAACTGATAAGGAAAGAATAATAAAACATTGTTACTAAGAATAAGTAAAATACATTTTTAGTTGATTGTGGAATACTATCAATAATTTTAATATAAAAATCATATATTATAAAATATCAAAATTATAATACTACATATGTCTCTTCAAAAACTTTACAATGCCTGTGAAAAAAACTTCCATTAAAAATGGAGTCAATATCTCAAAAATTGTAAATGCTACAAACAGGAAAATGAAAAATGTTACTTCTCCTATTACTCTACAATAACTAGGAGCAGACCGCACTTCGATACATTTAATATTTTCGAAGATATTTGCTGTGGACAACAATACCTACTTGACGCTTCACTACTCAATTCGAAATAGAAGTGACAAAGATCTGATCTTTCTTCTCTTTAAGTCTGGGCAACCATTAATTTACAATGTCTTTTTATGCTAAAGTACTTCTTACGAGTACATAAAACGTCTAACACTATGCGACATCTTTCGAGGCAGACCCATATGATTGTGATCATTGCAAATTTGGGTTCTATACATCTATTTGAGCAATTTGAGTGCGTTTGGTTTGCTCAAGACTTTGCCTTTATTGTAGCAGTTACAGCACATTTTTTATTTTTTTCCCACGAATCACCACCATAAATAAGTCATTGACAAGTATTCATGGGATCAATATTTGTATTCGACTTTGTATGCCTCCGGGGATTCAGATGTCTAAAACTATTGCACTCGATAAAGTAATCATATTCGTCAGGGTCAACAGATCACTAGAAACGATTTACACACAATATATGTACATTTTTACATGAAAATATCTACGTAAGTTTAGTTACAAGTAAAATATTATCTGATGCATAACTTTTTTTATATACAACTAGAGTATATGCCAAACAAAAAAAGAAAAGGAACATTCACTTAAGCAATGAAATTAAAGGCATTAGTTATCACATGTACTCTAAAATGCTAAATAAGCCCACAACCAGTATTGTACCTCAGCTTCTGGGTCAATGACCCCATCTCGATCAGTTTTCTCGACCGGTTTCCCTTCCCTGATGCTGAGATATCTCCTTGTTTTGCTTCCGGAGATAAATGAATCTTCACTGTCTATACACGATTTGTAGAGTTTAATGGGAAATAACAGTGCTTGATTTATCAAACTTTAGGTACCGGAACAAGCCCCAAATTAATTAGTAATTTAATAGAAATAGCTATAAATGTATGGTATAAGTTGAGAATTATTTCCGAGATACACGAACGGCGTTCCATGGCGTTCTGTCAGAAATCAAGTTTTTTTTTTTGTCAAATTATCGTTCACTGTGTTTTCGTGGCACTTAGTCGATAAAGGGAATTCTTCACAGAGGGAATGATGAGGGATTATTTGGCAAAATCTGTAGCTTACTTGCCTTTGCAAGTGGTATTTTTATACAGAAACGAATATTTGTTAAAATCTTGCCAAAACGTTCGTTTTCGTCTGTATTCACATTTTAACTTGTATGTCAATTAGGGTAGGGGTAGAAGAATTTTAGAAACCGCGCACAGAATATACTTCCCCCCATAGTACGTCATTCTCAGTTTTTCACTGTTTTGTCGTTTAGTATATAAAGGTCTGACAGCCATCTGCAATTATGCATCACTGAGTTACCCGTAATAGGAGTAGCAACGTAAGTCGGAAATAGCTGAGGGCTACAGCTGGTGGTCAAACTCCCCTCAACGGAACTTCTGCAGAAGATCTCTTATGAGCCGAGCCAGACGTAGCCAATCCTGTGACCATGTATACCATAATCCTCAACTCGCCACTAGCTATTTTTTGTTATCTTCAAGAAATTTTCATTCTATCAGCATTACGCGTATGTACCTACCCCTGGCAACAGATTTATACACCACAGGGATGCAAATGTTGATCGGAAAGAAAAATGTGTCACCACTGGTGGAGATCATGTGAAAAATAGTGCAGCATATGCTGAATTTGCTACAATTAAGTTTTTCCATGAAATTGTGTTCTCTTTTTTTGACGACCTAACCATTTGTCTAATTCGCAAATTACATATATTTCGGAGTTCAGCAATAACAAAACCTTGGTTGCAAAATGTATTGCAAAACCATCTTCTCCCTCCGTCTGTTGACATTATTTTAAGTTTTTATTATAGTATGTATCAAGTGATTTTCATTATTCTAAAATATTAAACGTGTTTTAAACCTATTTGTATCTGTAACAAATTTTTGGCAGTTCTGCTTTCTAACATTAGAAAGAACTACAGAAAGGGCGACTTAATCTCCATTTTTGTGCCATCTCATTTAAAGCAATTTCCACTGCTATACAATTAGGAATTTTCTTAAAATATGTTTCTTTCAAAACTTGAAGCTCAGTAGCACTGTAGTGTAAAAGTGCCCCATCGCTACTCACCTAC